TGATGGAGGGCAAGCCGCCAGCAAATGTGGCGTGTTCCAGCCCTGCACTGAGGATCCCACCATGGGTCCACCCCTAGCTCCGATGAAGAGACATCAGCAGTGGTGCAAGGTAGGTTTCCTGATTGAAGGGGGAAATGGCAGGGAGAAATGGCGGTGGAGCTGGCTAGTTTTACCCCTCTAGCCCTAAAACTGAGGGGAAGGAGAGCGTGGGAAGCCCACCCATTGCCACTAATGGGACAAAAATATTCATTTTGTCAGATGTGGGACAAAAAAGCTCATTTGGAAAGGCACCCGTTTTCAGGAGAAGTGCTCAAAAACTAAAATGGGGCCTTATGAATGAAATACAGAAACGGATAGTGATTCTATGCAAATTCACAAGACTGCAAGATGTTTTGTTCATCCAATGGATTACTTTGTCTAGTTCCAAAAATGAACCTTGTACTCTTAAAAATTGCCATTTCTAATGAGAAGGGGCATAACCCATTTCTACATGCTTCATACAAAAAAAAATAAAAAGCTTCAGCAGCCACTATATGGATAGGATTTTATGATGTAGAAGTCCTTCTATACATTGACATTGCGTTACTCAAAAGTCCTTCTGAGAACATGCATTTTTGATTTCTTTTCTTCAGAGTTCAATATGTACTATTTATTATTTGCACCAAAAGCACATTGTATGGCCTGTTTTGTGATGAGGTATGTTTGGGTGAGAAACTGAAAATAAACTCAACAGTTGAAAATAGGCAGGTTGAGTTTCAGAGTTTCCACCAAAATTTCTACCTGTTTTTGTTTAGTTTTTCATATGCATGTTTAGATGGCTACTGTTCATTCAGATGCCTCATTTCATTGACAGAAGGTTTCCAGAAATCAGACTAATTTGAAATCAGAGTGTGACAGATATAGTGCTGGGATGTGACCTCTTTTCAAGTGTCATGTCAGCCATGAACTTGCTCAATGGACTCAGCTAAGCAACTTCCCACCCCTAGTTTGCCGTGTTGTAGATTTGGGGATGGAGGGTGATACTGATAGTGACTTGCTTTACTGTTCTAAACATCATAAACACAAAGTATTCAACCAGTTAAAAGTAGTACTTCTTCCATTTTTTGAAAGAAGAAGTTGTGTGGAGGGGTGTTAAAACACTGTATGCCAAACTGCCCACACATCACCATAGGCTCTCCTTTCTCTTTCAACCTGTTCAGTCTTTCTCTCCTTTTTAATTAGTAGCCACAACAGCCAAGAGTTTGGTGCACTTTGATATTTTGCCCTTCGTGCATTATGTGATAGTAAAGAAACACTCCCTTAAACTCCTCAACTGGATGATGGATGCTTTTGTGAAGGGATGGATGGTCACTTTATGCAGAATGATAATCTTCCTGCTGTACATAATGAGGTCAGTGAAGCAGCGAGCAAGGAAATGCATAATTCTGTAGCCCGAGTCTGTAAGCACAGCACTGTCTAGGCTATTTAAGTTTAATGAGGCAGCTATTGTGCTGCTGCATACTCTCGTTGAACAGTCTCAGCATGTATTTCAAAACTAAAATGTAGCTCATAATCCATGTCCCTCTGCGCACTCCTTTGAGAGGCTGTGGCTCCTATTCTCATAAGTCTGCATTCTTCTCCTTCCCTTTGTGTGCTAATGGCATTGGAATTAGTCCATTTGCTTCGTTTTCATTGTAAATGTAGATCACAACGGTATTGCATTTCTTTCTTGTTCTTTGAGCATTGGAACTACTCTGAAGTAGTGCTTACACAGCATCCATGTTCTGTAGGGACTCTATTCTCCTCCATTGAATGCATCCTCAAGCATTCGGGGTTTTTGTCTTTCAACTATTTTCTAAGAGTGCAAACATATGTCCTGTGCATGGTGCAAATAGTTTTTTCTTTTCTCATAGCTTTTTGGCAACTTTTGGGAAATGTCACTTTATATTCAGTTTAATTAAACAAAAATTAACTGAGGTGGTTGACTTATAATTTTTAAAAGAATTAAATTAAGTTATTGATAACCTTTTAATTGGGAGGCAGTGCTAAGGACCTAAACAGTTTTGCATTCATTAACTGTTTTTTTATCCAAAGCCCAGATCTCTTGAATTTGCAGAGGGAGGATACTTTTTGCTTTTCATTCGTTCCTTAGGGTTGAGGACACAATGTCCAAAGCACTTAGTTCATATGCAGAGTATGATAGTAAATTTAATTCCAAGTTAAGCTAACAGCTAGTAAGGGTGTGTTAGAAGTGGATAACCTTTACTGAATCTTAATACTTCATCATACTAGAGAATGAATCCACTTTAGATCCAGTTTCTGCCTCCTGCAGAATTCTAGGGTTTGTAGTTTAATGATGGTGTTAAAGGCTCCTCCCTAACCTACAAACCCCAGAATTCTGCAGGAGGCAGCAACTGGATTTAAAATGGATTCATTGTTTAGTGTGATGAGATCCTAAATTATTATCTTGTTTCCTATGAAAGCTCCACATCTATCTCGAAAGTTATTCTTAACTTGTCTCTTTTTAGGGATTCATGTGGAAATCAGCAAGATAAAGAAAGTGGGCATGTGGGAATGAAATTGTAAGAGGGAGAGAAGGGAAGGGAAGATTCTTTGGTGGGATGGATGAGAAATTGGGTTTTGGAAAACTTGTATCACTTTTCTTCTCTCTAGAACTCAAGAGTGAGGATTGACAATGAAATTCAGGATGGTATTTCTCAACTTCATTCTAGTTAAGCTTGTAGCTCAGATGTGTAATATACATGAAAATAAAAATTTAACTGAATGATTAAAGTTTTTAACTTTCAAACAGAAATACAATCAAATAGTGATGGGACTGAACAGTCAGTTTCCAAAAATGAATGAATGAATGTGTGACTATTAGATAACACTAGAACCATCTAGTCTAGATAAGCCTTTATGTTGTCATTCTATTTAGGTTTTACACTACCTAATAAATATGATTTTTCCTTTACACTTAGTTGCTACATGGCCTCAACCTGATTCCTCGACCTGATACTCATCAGGTGTCTGAGACTACAATCCCTATGTTAGTTATTGTGATGCAATTTTTAATCCAAATTGTGGGAGACAACATAGAATCATAGAATCAAAGAGTTGGAAGAGACCTCTTGGGCCATCCAGTCCAACCCCCTGCCAAGAAGCAGGAATATTGCATTCAAATCACCCCTGACAAATGGCCATCCAGCCTCTGCTTAAAAGCTTCCAAAGAAGGAGCCTCCACCACACTCTGGGGCAGAGAGTTCCACTGCTGAACGGCTCTCACAGTCAGGAAGTTCTTCCTAATGTTCAGATGGAATCTCCTCTATTGTAGTTTGAAGCCATTGTTCCGCGTCCTAGTCTCCAAGGAAGCAGAAAACAAGCTTGCTCCCTCCTCCCTGTGGCTTCCTCTCACATATTTATACATGGCAATCATATCTCCTCTCAGCCTTCTCTTCTTCAGGCTAAACATGCCCAGCTCCTTAAGCCGCTCCTCATAGGGCTTGTTCTCCAGACCCTTGATCATTTTAGTCGCCCTCCTCTGGACACATTCCACCTTGTCCATATCTCTCTTGAATTGTGGTGCCCAGAATTGGACACAATATTCCAGATGTGGTCTAACCAAAGCAGAACAGGTTGGGAAAGGACCAGGGATGTTACAATTTTCCTACTAGTTCTCTGACAGAGAAAATGCCTAAGACAATGGATTAGTTCATATTTTCTAGTAACGTATATTTCTTCTGTATGGATATTTATACATGGATTTTGTGTGTGTGTTTGTGTGTGTCAGGAGTGACTTGAGAAACTGCAAGTCGCTTCTGATGTGAGAGAATTGGCCGTTTGCAAGGATGTTGCCCAGGGGATGCCCAGATTTTTTAATGTTTTACCATCGTTGTGGGAGGCTTCTCTCATGTCCCCGCATGGGAAGCTGGAGCTGACAGGGGGAGCTCATCCTCACTCTCTCCAGATTCAAACCTCTGACCTGTGGGTCTTCAGTCCTGCTGGCACAAGGGTTTAACCCATTGCTCCACTGGGGATAAAGTCAGCCCCCCCCCCAATTGTCTGCAAATGCACCCAATAAAAATACACCTGATGCAACACAATCATGTTTCTGTAGCGTGTCTAGAGAAAGGCAGCATGACATATACAAGGATCATAATGTGCGATTTTTTTCACCCTCCCCTTTAACTTCATCATGCAAGAAAGATGATTAATACACACAAAATAGCACTAAGGGGTGGGGGAAAGCCCTCTCTCAGTAACGGTTGGATTTGGTGTTATGCTCTGTGCGTGATGATGTAATGCACTTAGCAATAATGGATTATTTTCTCTTAGGGATTTCAAGTTGATTGTCTACTTTCTCATGTAAAAACTCAACTTACTTTCTGGCAAGAGGCTGGTGCGGAGTCACAAAGTGATCGCAAACTCGTTGACTTTTGCATTGCGTGACTGGCAAAAAGAGATGTGGGGGGAGAGACATAGATAAAATATTTCTCTGTTTTCATTTTTCATTTAAAGTCTGTAGAGAGGAGTACAGCTAGAAAAATTGCTTTAATATGTGTGTGTGTGTGTATGCATATATCTATTTCACAGAGATGCAATCTCAATACCCCATAGGATTTTTAAGGCTGCCCTTCCCTTGCCAATATCTGTATTCCTTGAAAGGGGGAGAAGTCTTCTATTTTCAAAGAGAATCAATAAGACAGTGTTGTATATCAAGGGGCTGGCTGCCTTGTTATTAACAACCCCTGTTTTCCTTCCCATCCACTTTCATTATTATTATTACTACTACTACTACTACTACTACTACTACTACTACTACTACTACAAGAAATTGTCCTGTTCAGGTTGTACTGAATTTTAATGACTAAGATGTTGGTGGGAATATATATATATATATTAAGATGTTGGTGGGAAATGTGTGTGTGTGTATATATATATAAATATATATTGCCTGCTTTCTCTCTCTCCAAGCAGCAGCACTGTCTTCAATAAATTGTTTTCTAATCTTTTTTTCCTAGATGGAAATCCTGTATGAATGTGGAAGCCATTAGCAGAGTAATTGCTGTCTGTTACCATGACAACCAGCCGCTGCAGTCACCTGCCCGAAGTCTTACCAGACTGCACCAGCTCCTCCGCGGCTCCGGCAACAGTGAAGACCGTGGAGGACTGTAGCAGCCTTGTGAATGGACAGCCGCAGTATGTCATGCAAGTTTCGGCCAAGGACGGGCAGCTGCTGTCAACGGTAGTGCGGACCCTGGCCACACAGAGGTACAGTAGCCATGACCCGGAGGGACAGACCCATATGCTCCTTGAGCCGTATCGGGGAGAAAGTGCTGAGAAGGAAGGGGAGCTGGATTTAGAGAACTATACCAAGCTTCTATTGTTGCATTTGGGTCTTTCTATTCATGAAGCAGGGCAAAATCCTCTCTCTCATTCAATTTGAGTGACCGTTCTGCATCTTTCCCTTCTCCGGATGGGAAGTCTCACTCACCAGCTTCATTGCCTCCCTCCTTCAGAGTTTATCTTTTGATTCTTAGTCTCGTTTCGAACTTTCCATACAATGAAACTTATCCAACCTCCTGCAAGGAAGGCAGGTGAGGGAAGAAAGCGGATGAGCCATGCAGGTGGCCAAGTGAGTGAGACGCTTCAAATCCTTTTGGATTGGGAAAAAGAAAACTTTGGGAATGATACTTCTCTGCTTACTACTTCTCAGGGAGAGTAATTGTTCTAGTGAGTGCATTGTGTGTGTGTGTGTGTGTGTGTGTGTACGTGCGTGTACGGAAGCAAGTGCATTGAGAAAAGAAGGGAGAGAGAAAGAGACAGAATCACTGTCATGTTGTGGACTGAACATTGTGAACCCCTTTCCCCCAAATTTGCAAAGCATGGGTGCTGAGTCTCCCTTTCCAATGTATATTCAAAGATTGGGTCTTGGGTGCTCGCTGTCGTGTTGCATGCAGTTTTTCCATGGATGACAGGCACCTGTTCATCATTCTGCAATTAAGCAATGTTTTCTGTGTGTGTTTGTCTTGTGCTTTCTTTGTTTGTGGTTCATTTAAAGATTTTCTAAAAGGCATAGCAATGGTATAACCAAAATCAACCAGGCAGACATCCAGCTTATGAGTGTCCATAGCAGTGATATAAAGAGATATCATTGTATTGGGGAAAGAGCTAATTTGTACAACCAAAGTGTGAATTTGTGTATCTGTGTGTGTACATATGTGTTTAGCTGTTGCTTGTTTTTAATATAAGACTAGATGGGTGATTGGGAAACTCCTGCAGAGAGTTGGTACCTTGATATAAAGTTAGGTATGTCGAGATGTATACTGCAGTCATATTTTTAAATTCATGGATTTGACTTGTGATACTTTCCCCTCCCTAATCGGCTGGGTGTGGTTTTTAAATATGCATTCATTCATTCATTTGTATGTTTCGTTTGCATCTACTACATTGACTCCCAAGTTAATGAGAGCAGCGTCAGTGTTCAGTGTTGCAACAGCAACCTAAGGCATGGATGGGTACAGCACAGCCTTGGAAATATCTGGGGACTCCAGTTGCACTTCTTTGACCCTCGGCTCCTCTAAACTGCTCAGTTTACCCTATTCTCCACCCTTCCCCCTCAAATAATTAATTCTCCTATTAAGTAAGATTCAGCCCCTGCGAAATCTCAAGGGGTAGGTTAGGCTGAGAGAGAATGCATGAACAAAAGCTGCTGCCAGGGATATGTGACTGAAGGGATATCTGGACCTCCAAGCCAGCATTCAAGCTATCAGTTTCCCAGTCAGACATTCCATGGTGCAATTGGCTCCAAAGGAAGTAAAGAATGAATTTGCTAAGGTATTGATATGATGGATAGATAGATTTATCTTGAATCCAATGGAGGATATAAATGCAATAAATAAAAAAAAACATTTTGTGAATGATTTGCTTGCTTTGATATTAATTGTGAGTCAAAACATATGGCTAACGAAGAAAATAAGTGTACATGCTGGGTAAAAATGTGAAAATATAAAAAGATAGTGTCTCTATCTTACTATGTGAAAGGATTAATAAATTAATGCATAATCGAGAGAAGACAGAGGTGCTCCTGGTCAGTCAAAAAGCAGATCTGGCAATAGGGAGTCAGATGTGGTCCCACTCCCCCTGAAAATGCAGGTTCACAGTTTGTGGATACTCCTGGATTCAGCTCTGCATCTGGGGCTCCAGATATCTGCATGAACCAGGAGTGCTTTTCCATAGTTAAAGTTAGTGCGCCAATTGTGCTCATTCCTGGCGAAGTCAGATCTGGCCATGGTGATACATACCTTTATTCATCCCGGTTGGACTACTGTAATGTACTCTATGTGGGGCTGCCTTGAAAAGTGCTCAGAAACATTAGCTGGTTAAAAGAGCAGCAGCCTGATTGGGGCTGGCTTACAGGGAGCATACAACAGCTCCACTGACTGCCAACATGTTTCCAGGCATAATTCAAAGTGCTGATTTTGGTCTACAAATCCTCGTATGGCTCCAGTCCAGGCTATCTGAACAGCCGTATCTCCTTCTATAAACTTGTTAGACATCTATGATCAACTGGGGAGGGACATCTACAATCAACTGAAGAGGGTCTTTTTGGTGGCTGCTCCCAGGCTATGGAACATGCTTCCAAGAGACCAGAATGGCCCCATCCCTGCTGGGCTTCCTCAAGCAGATCAAGACATTCCTGTGCCAGTAGGCATTTGGAGAAGGATAAGGAGCATATTGCTGGGGAGATTGAATGTGTGTGTGTGTGGGGGGGGGGGGGTTAAGTGGTGTGGTTTGTGTGTTTTAAAGTGCATTTTCGTGGAATGTATCATATTTTAATTGTATTTTAACCTAACCCACACAGTATTGTTTTTTTATTGTTGTATTTATTTTGTTTTACCTGCCTTGAGTCCCCCATGGGGAAAAAGATGGGGTATAAACAAAGTAAAATTAATTAATTAATTAATTAATTAATTAAAGACTGTTGTATACCAATTATGTTATGATTGGGTGAAAAGAAGAAGACTGAAAGGACAATTCTCTCTAGTCACACATTTGCATTAGTATGGATTAAAGATATGGATTGAATTAGGAAACAGGATTTCAAATACATGTTGAGTATTCCTTACCTGAAATGCTTGGAACCAGAAATAGTTTGGATTTGGGATTTTATTTTATTTTATTTTATCTCATTTTGCCCAGGGAGGTTGGGATGGATTTCATTTGTATATACATACATACATACATACATACATACATACATAATAAGAGATCTTGGAGATGGAACCCAAAGCTACACATAAAATTCATTTATGTTTCATATATAATTTTGTACCCTACCTTTTAAAAAGTTATGCATGAAACAAAGGTTGTGTACATCAAACCATTAGAAAGCAAAGATGTCACTCAGCTTCTCAGCCACCAGTGGATCGTTTTGGATCTGGGAATATTTGGAATTCAGGATAAGGGATCTTAACTTGTTTACTGAAAAAAAATAATTCCAAGGGTAGACAACTGTAAGTGATGTGTGACCAATTTTCACACATCCCCCTGCCTATGGGCCATGCTATTCTGGTGCACTAGTAGTGAAAATGTGACACTTCTAGATGAAGAAACTGGAAATACATCTCAAGGGGATCAATGGTTGCAAGTTATTTGGGCCAGTATATGCTTTCTACATCTTCTTCTGGGAATAAATAAACTCATCCGTTGAACACTTTTGTGGATCTTATTGGTTCCTCCTTGATTTTCACTTCTAGCTGTTTTTTGGCATTTTATTGGTGTTTTCGAGGTTGGGTGAGCTCTAGGAGACAAGAAAGTAAACCACCACACTTTCAGATATTTTAACATGGTTTGAATCATTTGTCTAGCCAAGAAAAACTCCTCCACATTTGGGAGAGAGAGAAATTACAACTTTTTTAAGATTCGGGAGATGTGGGGGATCACAAAAGTGGGGGCCTGGCGGCACCATGCTAAACAGTTTCAGGTTTCCATTCTGGACAGTGAAGCTTTTTCTGACCCATACGAGCTGGATCTCAGTTGGAAGGACTGGGACAGATCTTGTGCCTGAGACCATGGGAAGCCATTGCATGTGAGAGGAAGCATCATGGGACTAGATGAGATTATTGGATTTTGTTGTCTATGTAACTTTGTAAATAAAATTACTTTAAGAAGAAGAATCAGAGTAGCACTGGTGGCTGAGCTGAATCCCATTGTATCCTGCAAAACCACTAATTATCCCCTTTCCTAAGAAGGGCAGGAAGCAATCTCTTAAAAGACAGACACCTTTCTCCTGGTTTACCATTGGATAACCTGAGCCCAAGAAGGAAATCAAAGACATGTTAAAGAAGAGATTGAACCATTTGATATAGTTGGAAGAAGAGAATATTACAAACAAAAATGATGCAACATGGACGGGGACAGTGGACAATTGTGATATAATGAAGAAATAAGAGAATAAGGAAATATAGGGGACCATTCTATGTGTTAACTACAAAAGTTATGTCAGGAAATAGATTTGTAATCTCAACAGGATGATGACTTTTTTTATATAACAACAGACTTTGTGCTTTGGTCTACAGCTTACATCTACATAGCATGCCTCTCTAGAGCATATATAACAGAAACATTGTTCCCAACAACTGTGAAATGGATACGGTTGTGTCTTATATCAGAGAAGAAACATTTAATACAGAGTCCTGCTTCTCTTAATAAAGTTTTGGTGATGTCTGGTGTGGTTTTGAATTTATTCTTCATGAATAATCATGTAGTAATTAATATGGAAATCGAGTTGAAAATACTTGATCTGTTTAACCTAGCAGAAAAGAGGCAGAGGATGCATATAAACATATACTACAAATATCCTAGAGAAGGGGAAATTATTGGTCCTGGAAGGGGACCTTTATCAGCCTCAGCCAGTGTGTGCCAATGAGCTCTATTTGGAGAGGCCATTGATCCACTTCACATTGAATTATCTTAGTCCAATAAATCATGGCTTCTTGGGACCAAGAGTAAATGTGGCACATACAGCTTCCTCCCCTTTTCTCTCTGTCTTAATGCAATACTTTCAGGATTTGTTCAGTCACTCTTTCCTGTTATGTACACACCAGGCGACTTAAGGTTTGATTACAAATCAGGATGACAAACTAAGATTTGATCCTAATTTCTATACTCGATTTCTACTCCGGTCTCTCTTCATATTGTATACATTTCACTCATACATACATACATACATACATACATACATATATACACACACATACTAGGCTAGGAAGTGCCAAAAATAAAATGTCCTCCAAATCTCTGGAAAAGTTCCCTTCATAAATTGCAGCAATGGAGTTTCTGCCGTACTGTAGAATAACTGTATCTTTGGGCAGGCAGTGGTTCATATTCTACAGTATAATTGGTACCTGTTATCTGTGTTTGGAAATAAGAAGAAATGTGTCCTTAAGCAAAGTCAATCACTAAGATTTGTGTTACATGGTATGAGCATGGTTAGCTTGGCTGGCTGGATGGTACTACTTTTCTGCTAATTCTTCATGCTCTGTTGTAGTAAGAGTGCAAGGGCTTTGAGGTATGGGAACTAGTTAGACTGTATGGCAGTGAGTTTTATCAAAGAATCTTTAGGTTCCTTCCATCTTATGACTCCAGGCCTAACCCACAACCCTTCTTTCTTGTCTTGTAGTCCTTTCAATGACCGGCCCATGTGCAGGATTTGCCACGAAGGCAGCAGTCAAGAAGACTTGCTTTCTCCCTGTGAATGTACAGGAACCCTGGGGACTATTCATCGCAGCTGCCTGGAACACTGGCTGTCGTCTTCAAATACCACTTACTGTGAACTCTGCCACTTCAGGTTTGCAGTAGAGCGCAAACCGAGGCCGTTGGTTGAGGTCAGTAAATGGGGCATGTCCTCAAAAGCTTAGCTTTAATGATGTATGTTTTACACCAGGATCACAACAGTTTTGCAGCTTCGATGAAGCAAAAGAAAAGCACGGCATCTGGGGTGTTTAGAAGACATGGGGAGAGGGGGGAGGAGGGCAGCAGGAGGGCAACAGTAATTAAAACTTCCATATTTCAGCAAAGAACCTGAGTGAGAAAAGTGGAACTGATGGTTTGGCTTCTTTGGGGGTTTCTGTACACTTTTTATTTGCCCTATTCATGGATTGTTTAGCACACATATGGATGCTCTTTGATTTATTAATGATTTTGTGGAAAATAAATTTACAGAAGATGAAAAGTATCATTCATGTGGAATCGCAAGTATAGAACCATCTATTTTGAAAAGGCCTCCTACAGAGATTTTCTGATGCTAATTTTTTAACATTTGTAATAATTGTTGCTGCATCTGTTCCTTCTCAAACACTAGACAGTTGTTTTCTTCTAGTCATTTACAAGTTGAGACTTACTAGCTTTTAAAAATGAATTTGGCTTTTAATAAAATATCAATACATATAGTCTCTTGGCTGCACCAATGTTCATTTCTTCTGAAATATATTCAGATCACTTTTTATTTCATATTTGAAGAGTTTGAACATAGATCAGTGATGATGAGAACTCAGATGAGAGCTGTTTTTCTATGAGCCATAAAAGATGCCTGTAAACTTGATAACACAGAAATAAACGTGATTACAGTAGGGTCTCCAACATAAATGGGCCGGCAGAATGTTGGATAAGCGAAAATGTTGGATAATAAGGAGGGATTAAGGAAAAGCCTATTAAACGTCAAATTACGTTATGATTTTACAAATTAAGCACCAAAGACATCATGTTTTACAACAAATGGACAGAAAAAGCAGTTCAATACATGGTAATGTTATGTAGTAATTATTGTATTTACGAATTTGGCACCAAAACATCACAATGTATTGGAACAGCTGTGTATCCGGGTGGAAGGCAGACTGCGTTGGATGAGCGAAGGTTGGATAAGCAAGATTCTACTATAATTGCTGTGTTGACATTATGGTCAAAATCACCATACTAGTGAAGCATGGTCTCCTCCACTCTACTTTTGGAAGGCAGTGGAGATTGCCTATTTTGCCTAGCTTCTTCCTCCTTCTGTATAAGTACTGGTGAGTGGTTGGGTGTGGGTTCACTTCTTGCAGGAAGAAAAGTTTGGAAGGAGAACAGCTGATACCCCTCCTGTTTCTCTTCCTTACAAGAGTATTTTGCCCCCATAGTCATTGTGAGTGGTGAGGAGGGACCTAGCCTAGCTGACAAAAACAGCAACAAGGCAGGGTGACTGAAATGAAATTTCTAGCATCAGGAGAGAGATAACTGCATTCGTTTGTCACAAGAGAAAAGCAGCAACAGCTCTAGTGGAACCTTTAAGGCTGACATGTTTTATTGGACATAAGCTTCATTGCGCTCCAGCTCATTTCATCAGATGCATCAACATGCCTTGCTGTCTGCTGCTACTGCTCCTCCCCAGGCATTTTACTCTGATGCCGTTTGACAAAATCTTTTGGCACCCTGTGAACTAAAAACCCATTGTGGCTACAGGTTTTGGATATGGATGAGCACTTAGGTTTAGATAACAAAGTTGAAGTTCCATTGTGATTGAGCCTCTATGAATCAAACCCCCCAAAAATCAACCAAACACTCATAATTTTCAGTAAACTACAACACTTTCAGGAACAAAAATAACCCCTATAAATCTAGGGGCAACAATTGGGTAGAATAAATAGGTTTTAGGACTCCATTTATTTCATTTTTCCCTTTTAGGATTGGAGGCTCATGAAAACGTTTTTGCACAAATGGGAAGTGACATTTTTTGAGGACTGATAAGTGACAGGCTGAGTTGAAATTGAAAGCTGGCCCCTCTAGATTTAGGGAAGCTTTGCTGTTTCATCATTCTGTTGTGAAATGAACATTTATTTTGCCAAAGACTGAGGGAGCAGAGAATGGATAGAAGGAAGTAAGACAGATATTTGTGTCTGTATGTTCACATGAGATAAAAATGAAAACTAGCTGGAAGTAAATCCAGGAACACAGCTCACATCACTAGTCACTTTTTAAAAAATGCTGCCTTCCCAGCTGTCCTTTTTCTCTAATAAGTCTTTATCTGGTAGTTTAAGACTTGCCAAATCTTCCTTATCCTCATTTAAACCAGAAGTATATGTCAGATAAAGCCAGTTGCTGTGAAGAAAGACAGTAAATGAAGACTTGAATGTCAAATAATTATGTATAGAATTTTACAAAGCAAATATTTAAGGGATGTATTTTAAATAAGTGTATCTTGAGTTATCTGAATGGGGGCATATGTTTTTTTTCCTAATGTGCCAGGAATTTGTACTATATTTTTACCCATTGGCTACAGTTGTTTTATTCTTTCATGGAAATGCAGCAGGAACCTGCAGTCAGTGGTTTGTGGACCATTGAACGCTATTTTGAGTAGCACCACTTTGAAGTATATGAGCAAGAAATAAATAAGATAAATCTACTTATAATAGGAACACATCTCAAAATACATGTATAAGATCTACTATTCTGTAGCACCAAACCTTTCATCAAATCAGACATCTCCTATTTGTAATTCTTCTTATAGAATCATTGAGTTGGAAGAGATCATAAGGGCCATCCAGTCGAACCCCCTGCCATGCAGGAAAATACAATCAAAGCATGCCAGCATCTTCTCAAAAACCTCCAGAGAAGGAGACCCCACTACACTCTGAGACACCATATTCCACTGCCAAACAACTCTTAATATCAGGAAGTTCTTCCTAATGTTTAGGTGATATCTCTTTTCCTGTACTTTGAATCCATTGTTCTACTATGTCCTAGTCTCTGGAGCAGCAGAAAGCAAGCCTTGCTCCATCTTTAATAGGAAATCCTTTCAGATATTTAAACATGGTTGTCATGTTTCCTCTTAAGCTTATCTTTTCCAATCTAAACATACCCAGTTTCCTAAGTCCTCCTCATCAAGCATGATTCCCAACATTTTACCGTTTGGTCACCTGAACATATTGGCATTTATGTAAAAATTGAGGGTATGTCAAACTACTTTCTAATTATGTGGTGGTGGTGAGTTCCTCCTACCATTGCAGGATGGAGCATGCAGGGACTCTTTCTGGGCCATGATCTACCAGGGCCACTGGTACATATCTGTCAATAAGTAGAGTGCCTCTCCATTTTTTCCTCAACTGAATGAACCATGAACTGATTGGTTTTAATAGAGTTTATGATGATATAATGGGAAAGTAGACGTATTTGTATAGACCTTTGTTGTTATGACTTCCTTTCAAATAATTTAAGACATATGGTGACCCTAAGGTAACATGAGCTTTTCTTGGCACAGTTCGTACTGAGAAGATTTGCCTTTCATATCCTTTGAGTCTGAGAGAGTGGCTTGGCCAAGGTTATGCTGTGGGTTACCACGACCATGAGGCGTCTCGGAGTCTTAGTCCAACACTGAAACCACTACATTAGACTGGCTCTCTTCTATTAACTATACCTTTTAGTTAATATAAAAGAGGACTGCTGTGACCAACTTATTGTCATGGCCAGACCTGGACATAACACATTGCAAGTAATTACACAGTATTTTCTGTTGGTATGGGGTTCTGTGTGGGAAGTTTGGCCCAATTCTATCGTTGGTGGGGTTCAAAATGCTCTTTGATAGTAGGTGAGCTATAAATCCCAGCAACTACAACTTCCAAATGTCAAGGGTTAGGGTTAGGGTTCACCACAACGTGAAGATCTGTATCAAGGGGCCGCGGCATCAGGAAGGTTGAGAAACACTGCTAGAGTAAAAAGTCGCTTGGAGGTCATTATCAAAGTAAATTCCTTTTTAAAAATAACTTTCCAAGTAGAACTTTAATTTTCTTTGTGAGAAGAGAGATTTGTTGCAATATGAGACCTGACTGTGCACTGCCGTTATCTCATTCCACGAAACAAGTGGGCTGCCAGCTTCAACCTGTGGCTTCATCCTCTCAATTTTTATGCTACAATAGAATATTCAGATCACTTTTGTTGAAGCAAATGTTGAGCACAGCCTTTTAAACAGTGGGTCATTATTGTGGGTTCTTTTTCAGAGTTCCACAGCCTAACCTTAGATCTTTTAAACTTGTGAGACAATAATCCTTGAGCAAAGTCATGAGGTCAGTGAAATATTCATAATTATGAGGAAACCAGATGCTAAAAATTCAGATGCAAGGCGTTTCAAGATATTTTGATCTTCTCATTGATAAAGAGGCATATTTCTCTTCTCTCTCCCTCCCCGCCCTTTTCCCTTTGTAGGAGAGATTAGATTTTATAATTTCTTTCTTTTTTCCTGTTAAAAGATCATGGTGCCATAGATAAGAATTGCACAGGCAATAGAAAAGAGACTGAATTCTTCAGGCTGTAATACAAAGCATATCTCCACAATGTCGTTTCAGTTATAAAAATGTAAAGTGAGCAAGCATTGAGAAGGTATGCCTGGCTTTATATTATTGCAATAACAGTGAGCATCCTTTTAAATGGGCAATAGAGTCTCTGCATGCTCTATCAGGCTCATGCCGATTTTGGCTTTCTACGTTTTTTCCAGCTGGATTCTCCAGAAGGACTGTGGAATTAGTCCTTTCTCCTCCCCTCTCACATAACAATGCTCTGTTTCCTTTTCTAATTTAAGGAAAACCATAATCTACTAAACCAGCAAACTATGGTTTGCACTTGCCCTTGAAAACAGAATTAGAAGCCAGGATCAATTCTGTTTGACTCACATGACTAACATCAATAAATCCTTGCTGTAAAATAATCAATCCCAAAATATCAGCACAAAAGAAATAATTGGTAGTTCAAGCACACTCTGACAGCATAACAGTTAGAATGAGTCTGTATTTGTGTGCTGAAGAATTACAATGTTAGTATAATGGTAATGTTAACTTAAAACAGAGACAATTGCCAGAATTGT